ATGTTTGTCTTTTCAGCAATATGTGAAGCTAATCTACAATGCCACGGAGCCGGTAAATTCCTGATATTCACTATATATCTAATATATTTAATATAATACATATTTCAATCATAATCATAATTTCTCTTTTTCCATTCAAAGAACATGGTCTCCATTGAGTTTGGGGTTTTGAAACCTGTAAGTACAGACAATATTTATATACAAATTGATTTCTATATATTATGTCATGTTAAAACATGGTAATGCAAAACTCCAATTAAATCACCAGTTAATGTCCCAATCATATAATTACTGTTATACTGAACTGGGAAACACAGAACTTTGTGGAAATAAGTCAGTAAAACAAATAAAACTGTTCTCACATTTAAAGAAACTTCTGCAAATGGTGATTGACGTTGTTTGTTTAATTTGAACTCTTTTTTCAAGATAACCCTTGGTGAATATGCTGGAGAGGATGAAAATCCAGAAGAAGATTTCTGACAACTTCAAAAGGTAAAGGTGTTACTGGAGAGATAATATTTCAAATGAATCACCTGAACATCAATCTTCCACAGTGACTTATGCTGACAATGTTCTCCCCTCACACTTTCCTCAGGAAGAAAACAACAACAACAACAATAACAACTAAGTTCGATCAACCAACTTTAAAGAAGATTACGGTTTTCTATCCTGTAGTATATTCTGAGAAATGATTTGTGTTATTCAGGTTTTACCTGTAAAATCATAATTTCTGTGTACTACAATAAAAGTCTTAAACAAATTACTTTAGCAAAGTTCTTTATTCGACATGTTGTGAAAGCGAGGAGCAAATTCCTGAAACAAGCAAGATGGTTTCAGTGTAGTATCAAAAGTATAAATTGCATTTGGGAGAAAGCACACCCCATTACATATTGCAGAAAAATAAGGGATATTGCCGAACACAGAAGTGCATTTTGAATGATTGAATTGTTGTTTTTTTCCCATCTAAGGCTCAAAAAGGAAGGGGAAGTTGGAGTTACCCTGGAGAAACAAAACAAAACAAAACAATTCTCAATCCTGCAAACCTTTGACATTGACAAATTACATAAATCATGGTTTTGTTTGCGTGCATACAAATGAAAGTACATAAGCTTTAAAGGCATCAACATTGGAAATTATACCTCATCAATCCCTGGGCCGGAGGTGTCACCACGAGGATCAGGAGGAATCGTAGTAGACTCTCTCTTTGTCCCCATTGGCCATGTCTGATGTAGAAAATTACAAAAACACAGCAATTAGTCTAGACTGGTGCACATTTGTCTCCTTGGTTTATTAGTACATTTACAAAAATCAATAGGTTGTACTCACTTTTTCAGTTTGCAACTTAGGCTGGGAAGGCTGCTGAAAATGGGAAGATATGCAAAGTAAATACATATAAGTATTTTCCTACACGTGTCATTACAATTTTGAAATTAGATACACAAATGTAGTCCTGGGACACAAAAATGTAACAAAGAAACTAGATAATAGTGTTGAGCATGAAACATACAAACTGCATAAGGCATCTTTTAACAGTGCAGATATGTTACAATTACTTAATCAACACTGGAATGGGACTGAGGTAACATGATTTCAGCAGCGTGTGGTCAAAAGGCAGACAGTCGATTTTGCATCAGAGTCACCGCAGATGACTCAGCATCTGCAGCTATGTTATCATCATTAGGTCTTATCTTTAGTGGTTTTTCTAGCCCTTAATTAAAGGGGCAAAAGGATGTTGCTACACAATCACGTTTTAAAATGTTTTAGTAGTAGCTGTTCTTTGTGTTACTTTATTCAGTAAATATGTAGAAGATATAAGATAAAGACATCTAGACTGCCCTCTACAAAGCAAATCTCTATTCAGTTAGGGTGGTTTATTTCATGTCATGTTGCGTGTCTCACCTGCAGAGGGAGCTGTGGTCTCTGTGTGGCTCTCTCCAGCTGCTGCTGGCCGTTGTTGGGCTGCATCACCACAGTGTTCCTTTGCTGGGGATAGCCGTAGGGAGGCATAAAGTAAGGGTAGCCCTGTAGATAAAGGAATCACTTTAAATCTGAAGTCAGCATCTAAATAAAGATGTTTAGGTTCGCACACAGGTTAAAAGGTTTTCCTTCATACCTGCTGTCTGGGAAACTGAGGAAATCCATAAGATGGGTATTGAAATTGTGGAAACATCTAAAAGAAATGTTAAAATAGTTAATAATTTCTCTACATGACTGTGAGAAGCAGCAGGTGAAACGATAACACTGAGTATTTAAACAAAAGTATCCGTGTGTGTCCATGCTGTTTGGTTGCACCTGAAAAGGGTTTTGGGCCTGCTGAGGAACTTCAGGAGCGTTGGGATCCTGTGGAGGTCCAAGCTGCTCTTGCTGGACATTGGGGAACATCATTGGCGTGAGTTGGTTGCCCTGATTGGGGAAAAACAGCTGAGGCCCCTGGGGGCCGAAGGGATTGGCTAATTGAGGGTTAAAGTTCACCATCTGTGGAAACAGCACCTCAGGCTGCTGCTGCTGGAACACATACTGGGGTAATATGGAAGACCCCTGGAAAATAGAAGATTTAAATCTTATTACTTGTATTCACAAATTGAAACTCTATCATCTGACATGTGTTGTCACTCGAGGTGGTAAATCGATCGCAAAACAGTGTTCAGTACCTGTGTTTGTCCCAGAGTTGCAAGAGTGAGTCCATTCAGTCGTAGGATCTGAACACACAAAAGGGTTGTTTTAAACTTGATAACACTATTCCTGTATAACAATTTCAACTTTATTTAACAGACAAAAACAAAAAGCTATATTTAAGCCTACCTCGTTGCTGTTGCTTGCAATAATTCCAATCTGCAACTGTAAAACACAAAAAATAACTTTTTATCTCTGACATTTCAGATGACAACAAATATTTACTTTAGCAAGAGATCCAACTTACTGGTAGAGAAAAGCTAGTCCTGAATAGACAGATCAACACAAGAGCAGTCTGCAGCTTCATGATGTCCTACAGTCCATAAAAAACACAAAGCATGGTTTCATAAATCCATATCCATAATATACATTTCTCAAAGACAAAAAAACTTTCACTAGAAACATGAGCGTTTCAAAATCAGCTTACCTCTTTTTGTTTCTCTGGTTCTGTTTCTCTTTCTGTTGCCTTTCTCCGCACCCTGTCGATATTCCTTTTAAATTCTTCATGTGAGCTGATATAGTCCCCTGCCCACTCCTCCAGACAATGTGTGGTCAGTGACAGACATTTCTCATGGCCTCCGACTCAGACATTTACAACACAGGACAGGTAAGTATGTTATTAGATGTAATTAGTGTCTCTAAACACTATGACACGGTCTCTGTCAAGTTGTTAACAAACCCCTGAAGTATCTGAATTTAAAATGGCATGTGTTTTCCACGAACCCTATAGCGTATAGGTGAGCGTTTTGCTTTAACAGGCCAATGACTTTTGGTTTAAAGGGCTGTTTTAGTAAAGTACACTTCTTTATGTTCTCTTGAGTAAAGTTTATGTGCATAGTTTACAAGTGTGGTGCTTCAGGATTTAATTACAGACATTGAAACCCGACATATTTTTTTGGCTTGTCATGAGAAAAATAAAAAGCAAACAGGAGCTGGGAGCTTATTGTCAGACATTTGTCACAAGTTGTTTATCATGCACCAACTGATGTTGCCATCTAATTGGTCAATTATATGTTATAATAATTGACTGAGTTGGAATTTATGTCGAGGATACACAGCAATGAATATATGAATTCAAATATCTTTAGAATCCAACAACAGTATGACTTTCACATCTCCATAGTTCACAAGGCACAGTAGCAATTTTCTAAAACAGCGTTGATAAATAATTCAAAAACCAGGGACTATATTTTTACTGTAATCTGTTTTCCATGCACACATGCACTTTGGATATGTTTGTTTTTCTGTGCTTGGTTGTATCTTATTTCAGGCTAAAATTAATATTATACTTTAACTTAAACTTGCCCCTGTTTGCAAACCTGTGACCTACATGCTTTTTGTTTTACAGCTGATATGACGCTTTACAGCAGCAAAAGCACAGGTGGTACTAAAAACATTAACAATGGCTGTGTTCCATTCAAGCGTCATGAAAATGATTTACACCTGCACTACAAAAACTTGAAATGTTGCCAAGTATATTTGTCTAATACACTTGCTATAAGCCATAATAACTTCAGAAGTAACAATGCAGTGAGATATCGGGTCTTGTTTTTAGACAATGCATCATCTTGTTAAGTCAAGTAATCTTATTTTGAGTTGTATCTCAGATTAAAAAAACAATTTTTCACATATTTATTGGAAAATCACCAACTAACATCAGAAAACAGAACACTTTTGAGCATTTGTGGCTTATTTTGTAACACAATATTTCCTGATTCTGGTCAAATATAGTTCAAAATAAGTTTTCCCAGCTAATAACAAGATCTGATTTATCTAAATATCCCTTCTTATTTCAAGAAATCTTACCAAGCTAATTTGTACTTGTTCTATTGGCAGATTTACTTATTTCAAGTGAAAACACCTTGTTTTCATAATTTTTTCAACTCGTTTTTGGAGCAGCATTTTTTCCAGTGTGATTTTCCCATTTGTGACATATCAAAATGTCAGCTTCGTAGTGTGTAAGTCCTCACCATATTTTGATTAACCCCAAAGCACCAATGAAACCCAAAAAAGCCCATTTAATTATTGGCTTTGTTAAAACAATTATTATTTCCTTTTTCTCTTGTCAGCAAAATTCTTCAGCTACCTTCTTTATTAAATGGTCATGGTTCTTGAGAAATTGTTGTTTCATGTGTTTCAGTACTTATTATCCTTTAGATGGCAGCAGAGATCCACTATAAGGTGCAATGATAAGCACAGTTTATTGGTGAGAATGTGTCAATCAATACATTGGAGTGAAATCAGTGGATTCAACAACACAAATTTTGATTAAAGAATTGTTTATTTTATTTCACAGTTAACATGCCACACACTTGTTTTTACTGAGATTCATTAAGTTAGTCTAAAGTCTTATAATAATTAATAAGACAAACAGATTCCATTGTCATTGGTCGAGACAAAATCATACAAATCAAGTTTTATTATCATTTTGATACTTCTTGCATATCTGATTAAAATGTATCACTGTCATCTTAATAATCTTCATGACGAACTCCCCCCTCACAGGGAGTGGTTGTAGTAGCTTCAATGGGAGCTGGAATCTGAGGAAATGAACAAAGAGTGAATGAATGAAACATCTAAAAAAGAGAAGCAATGATACCAGAGAGTGTTGTTGATGTTATCCACCTAGATCTATTACTTTTTCTTGTAAACTCCATAATATTACCTGGGTATCCACAGTGGCCTTCAAGGTGTTGTCTTGTTTCATATTCTGACGCTGGAGAGTGAAAAAACAACAGTTAGCCAGAGCAGCTTTCATCAGTATTCACATAGAGGCAGTTAATTTTGTAACTACCCTGAATCTTCTGAATGGATCAGCCTGAAGGGGAACCTGCTGTTGCATGGCGCCACCTGGGACCCCCTAAACAAAGGCAGCAAGGTTTTGTTATCCAATTGGTTTGTTTTATTGTCATCAAAAAATCATGTAACCTGTAATAAAGTGTGTTGTGATGAGATGAAAACAAGATTGATTACCATCTGAGGCTGCTGAGGAGGATTCATTTGTGCCCCTTGAGGCACTCCCATGAAGGGAAACTGCCAGTAAGGAAAGACATAAATCAATGTTGTTGTTTTTTGTGGTACTATAAAGCCCGAAACAATATCAAGTGTGTTGTTATACAATTACAGTATTTGCAACACTAACCCTATTGACTGCAGGGACAGCGTACACATTGGCAATAGGGGCTGGAGCAGCAAAAGCAGGAACTCGTTGAACAAACTACAAGAGAGGGAGAAAGAATGTGATTGTTCATGTTGGGGTGTTTGTGTTTGTTGCTAATGGTGGATCAGATCAGATATTTTGTAAATATGGTCATATTGTAACACAATTCATGTAATGCATTTGGTGAATGCATTACATGAATTCTGAATTCCACCAATGCCAACTTGTGGTGTAGTTACAGTAAGAGATCAAACGCAACCAATAATTGTTACCAAATGTATTGTTGTACCATGCATGTACTGGACATGTTTTGCATTATATATTAACCTTTTTTGTTACAATGCCATATTTGTCTTTTTTATTGTTTTGACACCAAGTTTTGATCTTTCGAGTCAGCTACTAACACCCAGATTAAGGCAAGGATATAATACACATTTTAAATAACATCTAAGTCACTGACTCTTCTTATGAATTTTGAATTGTATTTGGTAATTATCTTTGCTGTGGAACTGAGATGATCAATGGCAACTTGAAAGACTCACCTGGACGAACTGCGGCTGCCCGATGAAACCTGCCCCTCCACCAGCTACCATGGCAGGGTTCAGGCCTCCAGCCATTAACCGGGGGTTCACCACTCCGTTTGCCATTCCTCCGTTCATACCAGCCAACATCCCAGGGTTCATACCTGCCATCATCCCAGGGTTCATACCAGCGAACATCCCAGGGTTCATACCTGCCATCATCCCAGGGTTCATACCTGCCATCATCCCAGGGTTCAGGCCTCCAGCCAGTATCCCAGGGTTCACCACTCCGTTTGCCATTCCTCCGTTCATACCAGCCATCATCCCAGGGTTCATACCAAGCATAGCTGCCAACAACTTCTGTGTCTGTGTGAGGGGGAGAAAGTGCATTCTTAATAATACAATCTTATTTTGGAGAATGGCAATAATGACACATAAATTATACGTTTTTCTTACCTTGCCTGCATTGACCTGCTTTTTGTAAAGAAACAACAGACAGTTACAAGCACTGCTTTGTATGTTAGATTGATACATAGATACATATATGGATTGTACTCACACAGCAGATGGTTGCAACAAATGTTGTAAGGAGAAGAAGCTTCATTTTGCAGTCTGAAACGTAAGAAAAAGACCAGAATAGGTGCATTAAACTCATTAAAAACTAATATTTTTGGGAAATATTAGTTGGAACATGAATACTTTTGTATTTTCATGTGGGATTGTTCCCACACATTGGGACCACATTGTTATACAATCTCAAGAGTGCAATACATACCTTTTTTTTCCTCTGAAATGTTATGTGCCAAGGAGGACTATAGTTGCTCTCTGAATTTAGAGCACCTTTTATCAGTCTCAGAGATTATTATGAGCCAATTAGAAAGGAGAACACTGACTTGTTCATAACCAATATGTGTCACCTGTGTGTCATATACCTTGTGATATGACATATGCTTTTTCTGCAAAGCTTGATTTAAAGAATGTAACAGTGAGCTACTTATTTTCAAGTCACTTCACCATTCACTTCAACCATTTAACATCGTTCTCCACACAGCTGAGTGACCGCAAACAATAACAGAGTGATTCATTGTCTTAGAAAGGTTTTGTGGGGGTTTCTGAAAGCCACTGACCAAAATCCACCATGAACCATCAAAATGTTGCGGGTAATTGTCACAGCAGGAAAACAACTGACATCATCTTTAACTGATTTTATAGAGAAATTAGAAAAAATGTGACTGTATGCTTGATGTAATTAAGAAATATACCCTGAAAGCAGCATGCTGTCGATCAGAGGATTATTGCGACATCAACACAGCTAAGAATAACAACTTCTGTGTTTTTTAATGTCTGTGCAAATATCTCATAAAATCCAATGATTAAATACTAGAGCCCTAATGCAATTTGTGTTACATGCCTCAAGCTGATTCAACTAACATAATTGTATCACTATGGGGGAGTTAAAGTCCATCTTAAAGGACAGAGAACAAGAAACCATTGGTCGATGTGATTGCTCTTATATCCCCTGTCGTCGCAGCTTTAAATCAGCTATGGTCTAGAGAGAATAATCAGTTAGGTAACAAACGTACAGCAACACAATATTCGTATTAAAAGCAATAAGGATCTTTATACTTGCAAGTATGACGTCTCCTCCAAAGAGCACGTCCTGTTCTGAGTGAAACAGGCTCTCTTTATAAAGGCCCGGACACACCAGCCCGATTTTGGGAGTCAGAGGCCGTCAGAGGCCGCCAGAGGCAGTCAGGCATTTGCGGCGCCCTACTCAGGTTTGTGTGTCCCGCACCGTCGTCTCTTTACGGCACCTTTTCACACCTCCCGACGCCTCCCGCGGCCGATTCAACATGTTGAATCGGCCGCGGGAGGTCAGAGAAAGTCGGGACAAGCAATCACTCTGATTGGCTGTTCACACTACCGCTGCCTGCTGGTAAGGACAGTTATTGCCACTCGTCGACTGAAGTATTTGCGGTGTGTTCGTAGGCGGGCGGCGTAGGCGGGCGGCGTAGGCGGGCGGCGTAGGCGGGCGGCGTAGCCGACGCAGGCGACGTAGCTGACGGAAAAGTCGGGACGCCTTCGGTACGCGTAAAGAGTACGACGGTGCGGGACACACAAACCTGAGTAGGGCGCCGCGAATGCCCGACTGCCTCTGACGGCCTCTGACTCCCAAAATCGGGCTGGTGTGTCCGGGCCTTAAAGCTGGCTACACACCCACCCGATTTTGGGAGTCAGAGGCCGTCAGAGACAGTCGGGCATTCGCGGCGCCCTACTCAGGTTGGTGTGTCCCGCACCGTCGTCTCTTTACGGCACCTTTTCACACCTCCCAGAGATCCACTATAAGGTATTCAACGAATCGGCCGCGGGAGGTCAGAGAAAGTCGGCCCAAGCAATCACTCTGATTGGCTGTTCACACTACCGCTGCCTGCTAGTAAGGACAGTTATTGCCACTCGTCGACTGAAGTATTTGCGGTGTGTTCGTAGGCGGGCGGCGTAGCGGGCGGCGTAGCGGGCGGCATAGCGGGCGGCATAGCGGGCGGCATAGCGGGCGGCGTAGCCGACGCAGGCAACTTAGCTGACGTAAAAGTCGGGACGCCTTCGGTACGCGTTCTTTGGTCTCAGGTGGGTGTGTAGCGGCCTTAAGGTTCACTCCCAAGAGATGACCTAATCAGAGAAACTAAGGTTAGCAATGTTAACACATTTGATCGCACAATTTCCTTAACACCCCTAATTGAAGCCGTTTTAAAATTGTGCCAGTTTTTTATGTGTTATAGCAGTTTCTTTTATTTGCATGGTTAATGTGCCATTTCATTCGTTTTTTTACGACAGCTGTATTCGTCTGCCTGTATTGTTTTGTGTTCATTTGTTGTAACTTTGTTCATGCTGCCCTCTTGGCCAAGTCACTCCTGAAAAATAGATTTGAATCTCAATGAGACCTTTACCTGGTTAAATAAAGGATAGCCTATATAACACAAGCCTTAACATAACAACTCATACAGCACAACAACTCAGCAGTGATGACACTGTCAGACAGCGTTCATTTGTAAACACTCCATTCTTGCCCATATAAGTTGCAGATATTTGTCATGTTTCATCAGCATATTTTCTCAAGATGTTTAGGGACATTAAATGCATCCCCAGTGTGGTTGGCTGGATATGTTGTCACATACTGAGGCTGTCTGGGAACGTTTTTTTTGCTTTTTCTGCTGTCTGGGCAGCCCGCAGCCGACCAGGTAAACACCCTCTGGTCTGGAGCTTTGTGCTAATTACACACTGTCATGTAGTTCAAATGAAGTAACGGTTTTTCATGTTTGTAGTTTAATGTTAAGAAAAATACTATTTCCCAATGTAATTATGTTAATATGTAAGATTTATCAATTTAATAAGAATTTATTTTTCATAGTTCACAGACAGGATTCAATAAACAAGAGTCTGTTTTGCCAAGACTCGAGTAATATGCCTATGGTATTCCTTTTTAGAGACCTTAATCACCATGTAGCAAGTAGTTGCAAGCAGCGTACTGTAAATAGAAATGTGCGCATATTTGTACCAGTCTCATACGTAAAAATAACATCAGATGAAACACACCCATGAGGCTGGTTGATGTTGTTCAGTTTTTTTGCTCAAGTACACTTTGACAGACATATTTTGGGCTCCATGGTAATGTGAAAACAAACATGTATTTTATTGATATGTTGGAACTTCGACTCAAGAAAAATTCAGCAATTGACTTCCATCATTTATTGGTTATTAGTTATGAGGACAATGATTTATAACATTCAAGCATGAGCAGGATTAAGGGAATGAATCATGCCATATTGCTGACAGCTGTCTCATTTGGCTTGCTTCTCCTCCAAATCTGTCCCAGAGCATTCTTCATCCTCATCGACTGCCACCACCTTCATCACGGGAGGCTGTGTCCTCCTGAGGCGAGCTGCAACTGACCGCTGAAACCTCAGTCCTCCAGCCGCCCTCCCACCAGCGACACCCGGCTGTGGCTGGTTGTTCAGCCCGGCCAATGAGATCAGCTGCACCTGGCCGGGAGTCAACAGAGAGCCCTGTGGGAGTCCTCCAGCATTTCTCTGCGGCAGCACGGCAAACAATGTGACCGGCCCACCCCCAGCAACCTGAGTCAACTGCCCCTGTGGATTCACATTGGCACCAGCGCCTCCCTGCCCCACAAGGAATGCTCCACCTTGTTGGAGAGCTCCGATGGGAATCAGCTGCTGCAGAGGAGGCTGACCTACTTGGTTTCTGACTGGCTGGATAAAAAAGGAGCCACCAAGTTGGACTAAGTGTCCCACAAGGGGCGCACCGTTTAGTGGGATCCCATTTGGACCCCCAGCGTTGGCATTGTTGCCAGCTGCTGCTCTATTATTATTCACTCCCACATTGGCAAGGGCCTCAGCACTCCCTGAAGACACACCACCCTCCACCACAAGAGCAAAGGTGTAGAAGAGAACCCCCAGTGTGCAGAACATGTTTAATCTCAGTCACAGCAGACAGGCGACAGGTACAGAGCTGCTTCTCTCTGTGCTTATATAGAGAGTGTCAGATTCAGTGATCACTAACAAAGGTCCAGCCCTTTATCTCAAAACAACAAGTCACTGTAATCATCATGACCATGCTGCAGGCTATTTTTTGCGTTGTTACCTTACAGAGGGCCATTATTAAGGGTTAAGTGGCAAAACTCAACCAGTTATCAGTGACTTGCATTTCTAAAACTATTGTTGCCATGGTCATATTTTCCTGTCATGGTGGCATTGGGGTATTGATCGGTGAAAAAAACATGGTATTAAAGTATAAACTGATACATCCCAACCAATATAATGCTATAACTTTATTACAAGAGTGTAAACAAAGTCATCATTAAAAACGTGTGCACTGAACTATTCAAGTCCTCAGCTGTCAATAAAGCTTTACTTAGATCTACAATGAAACGTGAATGCAAAGACAAACATTTACAGCATTTAGCTACTAAGATAAGAAACACAAGATTTTTTTTAACATTTTGTAACACAAGGTTATATTATCTTGATTTAAAGAGTAATTATTTACTAAATCACTCTTACATACAAACCACAGTTATTATTTTGAAGCCTGGTACTATGTACAACAACTTTTATAATAATGAGCTGAACTTTTCCCCAATTTGGAATGCATTAGAAATACCTTTCTGGATAAAACCAGCTAAACGAAACGGCTCAGTCTAAATTACAGAAAAAATATCCAAATGTCCAAGCTTAGCTTGACACACAACAACAGGAACTACCACCAACACTTGCCCTCTGTAGCAGGAAATAAAAAGGAGTTTCTACAATCTGTATCTGTCAGATTTCCTAATGTTACAGAGGTTCATGGATGCTTCAGTCTGTTGGAGCAGCTTAAACAGGCTCGTGTTGTAGGTGAGGTACAAAGTGGAGCTCAGAACAGCAGGTTGACATCCATATCATCTGTGGATGAAAACAAATTAGTCATTAATATGTTAAAAAACAGAAACAGAATTTGCCAACATCAACGGTATTTGCTATATGCTTTAGAAGTGCATGAGAATCAAATTGGCAGTTTTCTTTTTACTGGAACCCATTAAAAACTATTTGTATGTATAGTATTTGATGTTATGTTATTACCTGACTGAATTAAATTTAAAATAACATTAAAAAAAGAAATTTCAAGATACTAGTTTACGAATGCTGTCAAAATAACGAGACACAAAGACATGAATTGTCCCTAAATACAGTATTTAGTTAGTAGTAGTACTCATTTATTGTAAAAATGTACAGACTCTCATTCAGAAGGTAGTGTCATATGAAACCAAGGCATAAAAGCCATACTCACTGATTAGAAAAGTGTACCATAGTAGCTTAGTGAATATGTGTTGCTCTTACCATTTTTGATTCCGAAACAGGAAGTCCACTCTTTAAAGGACACCTGCTTGTCCTTGTCAGCATCGCACTCTTGAAAGAAGCGGGAGGTGCAGTGCTCCATCGGCACCAGAGGGACTCTAAGTGGGGCCAGCTCTGAGTGGGACAAGATTCTGCACAGGATGGAAAAATACCCAATTTGATCATTTTGAGCATCTGATTTATGTAGAGTACAGTATGATTTCCTAGCTTAGTTCTGGCTAGGTTATTGTGATATATTAGCCAGTCATGCTGTAGATAAATAACATTTTTGGCATGACAATGATGAGAAAAATCAACAACAAAAGCCACAAAATTGGCTTGAATGACTACAGTGCTGTATAAGCGTTCTAACACATAGACTACTAGTGAAATCCTATAGTCATCACTCTATGATCATTTTAAAACTTAATCTAAAAGTTGATAAAAGTTCACTGTAAACACAGAGTGATAAAATGTACCTGTCAGATGGGTGTTGGTCCAGTTGTGCAAACTGCCAGTGCACTGGGTAGATGTACATGTTGTAGTTCTTCTCAAAGTCCTGCGCCAGCAGCTCAACGGAGTGATCACCAGCATGCAGACGCCTCTCACTCTCAAAGATTTTCTTCACCTACAAATTCAGAACATTAAACATCATATTTTCTTTTTCCCAACATGCTATGTGAAGTTATGGACAATTACGTTTTTAATGAAGATTAAAATAGATAGTTGTTAATAAACTAGAGAGTCCCACAGCTTGTCTTACTCTAAAACGTTGTTTAGGCGTGAGGAAGCCAGGAGACATGGAGTCATGTTCAAAAAGCTGCAGGAGAACATTCTTCAGCCAATCCCTCATTCGTAATGGGAACTGGACCAGCTCATTGTCCACACATTGAGGTATTACTGAGAGATAAACAGAAAGAAAGATCATGATCAACCATGCACCATAATTCAAATAGAAAAACTGCTTTAATACCAATTATTCTGTAAGTGGATAACTCTCACATTTGCATGGCCCAGTGTAGTCCATGTGAAGTCTGTGTCCTCTCTTAGTGCCCTCCAGGTTGCATTTAGTGGCAAAGAGTTCACATGATGTATCGTATGTTTTGTTGTTTGTGCCACAAACCTACAGAAATGCACAAGCAAAAGTCTAATAAAATCCAGCAGCTGTTGAAAACAAATCCAGTTTAATTTTTGACAGATCACAAATACTTACATTATCAAACTCATTGGCACTGTGAGGACAATCTGCCGGCTCTTGACACACGCAGCCTGGCTTTTTGTCCGCATCAAGTTTACATGTCTTTCCACGTTTGCAGGGGAAGTTGTCACATGGATCTATAAGGGGAAAAAAGCACTGCATGACCTTTGACCTTTGACCTTTGCTCTGTCTGAATCCTAAAACCAATGTTATCAGGAATAAGGTTCTGTTTTTTTTCTCCAGTGTTTTGTCTGGAAACCAATGAGCAATAATCACTACAGACCATCCTCTACATTCCACTGACATTTGAGTTTGCACAGCGATCAAATCAACTTGATCTCCATTATTCTTTTCTTAATCCCCCAGAGCTGTGTTTTGGTAGTGACCGTGAAGCAGAGTGACACCATTCATGCGGAAGTTTTAGCTAAATGATCCAGTCAGCAGATTCCCGTGTGAGTTTGTTGGGATAATGCATTAGTCAGTAAGGGGATTGCTGAATAAACCAACCGGCAGGGGTTTCTGGGCGATGTACGCCTCCACCAGGAGAGGGCCTGGATCCTGGGTAGAGATCCACTGTCGCTCTTATCTGCACTGGATTCATTCCTACTAGAGGGCCCTGAAAAGGTAAAAGGAAAATGTAATTTTAAAACAAATTTGTATTTACCAACTTTGTATCCTATTGCAGCACCACAGCAAAAGAAAAAGTCACATATCCTTAATGAAAACATGCAGTTACATGTTGTGTCCACTTGGAGGTAGCAGAAACAACGTGTAAATAATACTCTGACATATTACTAATTCCAGCTCAATATAAAAAGTTTCATACTAGTAGATGTTACTGAGAAAATGTAGCAGTTTTATGAGTTGAATGTAGTCTCTTGTTTGCTTGACGATTGTGTTTCCTGTTGATTGTATTTTGTTCTAGTCAAACTCTGACTGGTGTTTATATCTCAAAGCATGTCTTGGTTAAATAAAGGTTAAACAAAAAAAACTATACCCTTTGCCTTAAGTGACTTGTTTCTCACAGCATGCACAGGAACCTCAAATAAAGTTAAATGGAATTCAGCCATCCCTTATTGTTTACACCTGTGCTTATAAGTCAAAATGCCTTCTGTGGGAAACTGTGACAATTTGAGCAACATTGGAGTCGTGTTTCTGACCATCCAGTATTTGTAAATCAAATATTCTCCTAACTTTCAGCTGCTCAATGAACACCAGTGGGACCAACACATCAATTGAATGCTAAAAAGCGCTATGGAGGTAAGGGGAACTGCATTGTGGGGTGATCACTTTGCCACTATGTGTGACCACATTCGCAAGTAGTTTTGTGACCCATTAAAACATATTGATTATAAAGAAATAAACTGTACAGATGATGCATTACCCATTTTCCTGCCCTTCTCCTCTTTGCCTTTTGAACTGTATTGTCAATGCTGCTGGCTTCAGACGGCTGAGGATCTTGTTGGCTCTGTTCCTGTCCAGACTGTGTTTCCTCACTCTGTGGAGAGTGCTTCCTCGCACGCTTGTTCTTCTTCTGCTTCCTTGTCTTTCCCTTGGTGTTGCTTCCACTGTCATTCTTGCTTTTCTCCTCTTCCTTTCCTGCCAGTCGGGACCCTGATTCAAACTCTGTATTGCTCTTTGGTTCTTCAGGGTCCACTGCCTGAGTGTTTTGGACATCTTCTTCATCTGCAATGGTGGGCAGTGTTTTGTCACTGGTTTCCTTCTCTTTGATGTCTTCTTTTGAAGGAGGCTGGATGTCATGAGTGTGGGGTTTTATTTTAGCAGATAGAATCTGTAGAGGTAAGATGCCACTATCAGCAGCGTAGTCAAGATCAACAGGGATCTCTGACTCTGTGCTACCATCTGTTTCCTCCAGCAACGTCTTTCCGCCTGTTACTATTTCGCCAGACTTTTCCACCTCTTTTTCTTCTTTCTCCAGCATTTCTGCATCTCCAACAATCTCTTTGTTTACTTCTTTTTCTTCCATCTCTAGTTTGTCATCTTCCTCCTGTCCCTCATCCTCCTCAATGGTCTCCACAGTCTCATCAGACTCCTCCTTGCCTTTGTCCATCTCATCTTCATCTTCCTCTAGCACTCTTTCTTCAGCTTCCTGCTCTTCTTCTGCTTCTTTCTTCAGGAGGTCCACCAACTCCTCTTCACTAAGCAGGACTGCTGTATGTTTATCGCTCTTTTCAGTCACCTCAAACTCTTCCTCCTGCTTGCTAGCATTAGCATTAGCATTGTCTTGGGAGCTCAGTTCCTCATCGTCTTGCTCCTGGCTGCTGGCCTCAAAAGTGACTAAAGTTGGTAAGATCTGTGGCTCGTTGGCCTCCTCTGCGACGATGTCCTTATTTTTGAGGAAAGAGAATATACATTTTACAACAAGGAATCATTTTATGTTTAAAATATAATTTTGAGAAATTAGTTAAGAGGCCTGCTCTACCTTTTCTGTTGTTTTATGTGAAGTCTTATGCAATCCATGATGTTTACTTTTGACCTATATGTTATGGGGATAGTTGATTGTGAACATTCATTCAGTTAATGTCAAAACTCCAAATAACAACAAACCCCCTCACATTTTTCAGTATAAGTAAGAAAGATATTACTCACAGACAGGGCAAATGTTGCTGACAGTAAGCAGAGGAATACTAAGCAGGCCCTCATACCTGAAACAATGAAAAGAGTAGTTTATAAATTGGACAAAAATCGAGACAACATTTATTTATATATGCTCATTAACATTACTGGGAGTTACTGCCGAGGTGAAACCTCAATACTGCCTAAACAGAGCACATTATGAACAACCAATACATTATAATCTGACTCCTATACGGTCAAAAACAAAGACAAGAACTTGGCAAATCTCTCAAAGTTAAAATGAATGAGTGAATGTGTGTCCTGACAACACTTTCATGATGAGCAGAGTTGCGGGAATGGCCTCCACTGTTGTCAAGGTTACAGGCCTGAGATGCGCCTCTCTCTCAAAAGTCACATTCAGAGCTAAAGTAAACATCAGAAACTACCAGACTGGAAAAAAGTTGACTTAGTCCACACACTTTTTGTCTCTCTGGACGGAAACAAAACAGACACTATGGGCCTGTCCAGGAGAACAATGGCTCTCTGGCTCGGCCCACTAAACACCAAATAGGTGCAGACAGGGGGGGTGTATGTATGAAAATCCACCCAAAGTGGTAAATCAAACTATTTTATTTAATATTAACAATAATAAAGTAATGTTAAAAAATAAACACATCAGCGTCCATTTTATATTTTAAATCATATTCTTAAATATATATATAACATTATTATATTTAAAACATTTGATCATTTAAGGATTTTTTCATGAAAACTTTAATATTTACAACGCTTAAGGTATAGGTTATATACAACCGTAAGAGTGCTTAATTTTAATGTTTCTTTATTATGCACAGCTTATTAGTATACATCTAGTCACTATCTATTTACATAAAATTAAATAGGGGTTCCCATTACACAAAGTTAAGTTCAATATAAAGTAAAGGCTATTTCCAGTATAAACAAGGCAGCTTATGCTTAATGAAAAACACAAAGTTGGTAAACAGCAGCATTTCGTTACACACATCTAGATTTGATCATTAACTAATATACATACAAATCAATGGAAGATTTGAGTTATTTGGATTTTACCTGAGGCTGGCGGTAACAAGAGAAATGAGAATCCTCGTCTGTGTTGAACCTGTGAAGGTGTCCTTTTGTATTAGAAACAGCGCTCACACTGTCTACATAAACTGGCAAGCTGCACACACACACACACACACACACACACACACACACACACACACACACACACACACACACACACACACACACACACACACACACACACACACACACACACACACACACACACACACACACACACACACACACACACACACACACACACACACACACACACAGTTTTCTGGGCTTAGGGTGCCAACACTTTTTTTTACTTTGGGAGGGTCTTTGGGCTACAGAGATTCAGAAAGAGGGAGGGCAACAGATCCTGTACTGAACGTCAGTTTGGTGCTTTGTTTCAACAAAAAAAGGAATTTTGAACTTTAATTTTTCTTGACTTTTTTTTATTGGAATGTATACAAAACAATAACCACAAAATGAAAATCTGACTATATAATAAGATTAAAGTATATTGTTGAGGATAAGCTTATGATACATTGGCAAATCACACAAAGGATAATATAGAAAAAGATAAATGAGTAATGTAATTTTAACTCTTGCTTTAGTGCTGTTTTCCTTATCAGTGATGTCTGCAATTTTGAATTTAATGCATGTCTATCTTTCAAGTTGGATTGATTGTGTGTGAATATTTGACTGAAGTTGTTTTGGTAGCTTGTTGATGACAGAATAAAACCAAACCAACGTCTGATACTTCTTAAATGAAATGCGTTTTTAGGACAGAACTTATTTTAGCCACTAGATGTCGCTGCTATGCCTGTGATCCACTGCTCATGAGTTGCAGTTATGTTCACAATTGCAAGACTTTTTCAAATCTTCTAATAATAATTCAGTAGTATTCATTGACAGATCATTTTTATGTTAAGTTAGATTTGTAATGAAAATATAGATTTTCTGATTTCAGAAAAGTTAATAAAATGGACCTTGAGGTGAGATTTGTTGTCAGCCACTGCTTAATACTTGACACTGAAAAGTAATGGGTTAGGCAAAAGATGATAATGGTCAAGTACAGTCCTTATATATTGTAATCAAGTACGATAGCTACATTTTCAGACTGCCCATAGCTGAGATCAAGACTTAATACTTTCATTACAGTGCACTAACTCACTTTAATTGACCAAGATGGTGCTCAATAAAAAACAGGAAACAACTCAAACCTGCATCACTTGTCCCTTAAGGATCAGATGTAAATACCACTGCTCTATTAGTAGTCTTTCTTGCTGTAAATCTCCAGTTGCAAGCGATAACCTAAACGCATCAGATGTCTGGCTGAATGCATCAATATTTTATAAATACTTGAGTAACCTTTGGGCAAACACTGTTGACTGCAACGAGCATCAGTCGTCCTCTACTCACTCCTCCCTTTTTTCTAAAGCAGGACTTTACAACAACTGGCAGCTGTGGTTTCTGGCAAACAGCTCCAGACTGCTGAACATCCAGTCTAATTACATGTTTCGTTTGCACGGTTGAAATCCTAAGTGAGGTTAAGAATTCTTTAATCATATTTAAGGCCTCACCATATATGGAGAGCCAGGAAACAATTATGAGCCTCAGGGAGGAAATATAGAAATCTTTATTTAGCCTTTCTACTGTACATGCCCTATTTCCAAGAACGAGGTTTATCCAAAAACATCATATAACGCTGAGGACAATTCAAGTTTCAAGCCTTTATTGTCTTTTGCACATTAGCTACAGCTACATAAACTTAGGTCACAGGCTCCTCCAACAGTGCAACATATACTGTATATATAGAACAAATAAAACAGATACAATAGTCTAAGAGAATGGTTTACAAAACGTGTATTTGTTTTTTTTTCAATCCTTCAAGTCATTCCTCATGTGGTTAATGTGAAAATACTATTCAAGTTGTACAAATATTATAACAAATAATATAACTAATTGTAGACTAGATAGTATAAGGAGAGAAAAACATCCACTTCACCGGAAACAAGCATGACCCCATCTGGCCCTCCTTTCCTCTCCGAGTGGGTGAGTTTGTTTTCTCAACAGGCCACAAACCTATGTTTTAGTGCGCTGAACTATATTTCACTAACGACTTCAGAGGGGGTGGAGAACTTGTAGTGACTGAATTAAATAACTGTGTGTGTGCGTGTATTTGCGGTGTGTATGTGCAACCACTATCTTGCCAGTGTGTGTGGATGTTTTTTTTCACCGGAACAAATACACCTTCATGTGTGGAAAGGAGACATCCGGGAGGAAGTGATGCAATCGTTTTAATTACTTATATAGAGTGATCCTTGGAGTTTCCTTCAGCATATCCACACATTGTGCTTTTACTGCCTCAACCACCAGCTCTCCAGCTCAGAAAAGGCTCTGGGTTCTCCTGTTTGCTGCTACACACACTGAACAAGGACCACTGACAACATTTCTCTCAGCAGCTCTGCAACTAACAAACAAAGAGGTACACTTTCACATATTATACAGGTTTATGTTGCTGATGTATTACGATGGGTTAACATTATTTCAAACTGCCATTGCTTTAATTTGTATTATTTATATATATATATATATATATTTTAGAGTATTTACATACAAAGAAGAAGCATTTAAAATGTAATTGAATCAAATGTGTAATAATATTAATCACATACTGTATGTCTGTTACAGAATGAGGGGTACCGTAGTAATGTTTTGCCTGATTGGAGCAGTTTTTGCCAACCCAGTAAGTATGAAAATAATACAATTAGTGTACGACGTACTTTTTGATGAAAACAATATACAATTCAATACACATTTTGCACATAATATATTCTTTGTTCTACTAAGGAATATGCATAATATACCTATGGCAAACAAATTAGAGAGTTTACTTTACAACTCAGTTGTTCAGTCCGCTCAGTCATTTAAGAAAACACATTAGAGAGTTAAAACACACATTTATCGTTGACTATCAACTGACCTGTTATTTCTCTCCAACAGATTTTTTTCAGTGCCATTTCGGAATCAAATTCGCTTGACTCAAACTCGGTGAGTGCTTTTTCTAAATCGCACTTTCCTAATATCATATTTGACTCTTTGGGTTTCAGCATAGGAACTCAACATTGTTTAAACATAAATCATTGACTGCAGGCACCATGGCTCCTCCGTCATAGTAAGCAGAAAACCCAACAATAGGTGTGGTTGCTCAAAGATCTCAAGACAATTCCCATTCCAGACAGCATTGTTTACTATACTATGTGTCTGCAGCCATAACTTGAATGTGATGATTGTTTCTGTTGCAGTTGTAAGGTATAATTAAATATATTGCGATATATGCTTACTTTGTTTCTCCTTCACAGACTGAAAGTTTGTCGGTTTCACAATCTTCAGAAAATGACACCTCAGAGCTTCAGGTAATTAGATTAGATTAGATTAATTTATTGTCATTACAAAATGCAAGCACAGTTAACCAGGGTGCAAAACAGTCAGTTATATACACAATTATCAGAAGTATGTACAAAATAAATGATACAAAGATAAAGGTAAATAGATGGGAAATGTATAAATAAGAATAAATACACAGATAATAATTAATACAGTGAATACAGTACTGTATATAAAACTAATGTACAAGGATAATTGCGCTTCAGCACAGCACACAACAACAACTAGGCAGTATGGGACAGCGTGGGGTTCATTGTCAGTAGTCTGACTGCTGAAGGGAAGAAGCTGTGCGTAGTCCTGTTGGTTCTACCCGGGAGGCTGCGGTAGCGTGTCCCAGAGCGGGTGCCACGTAGGGGGATAAACATTGTATGGTTGGGGTGTAATGCACACATTTATCCCAGTAAGGAGGACATTATTATTTTCTGATGCAGATTGAGTTTTGCATCACTTTTCATTGCTGATCTAAACCTTAACTGATATGTATTCCTTTTTCTGTTGCAGAGCTCTGAAGAAAGTAACTCTATTCAAGTAAGTTCGTTGGATTTGTCAATATTTTTGCATGACCCTAAGAGGGAAACATTGAATCTTTTTGATATAATTAAATGAAGGATGTTCTGTATATATGACTGAATCATCCTTATCATATTTTCAGAGTCAGAGCTCAGAGTCAGAATCATTAGAATCCACATCAGAGGCCAAGGTGGGTTGGATCATCACTTTTAACATTATTGTCATTAGTCAACTAAATTACATTAAGCATGTTCCTGGTTGTTTCATAACCTCAAATTCATCTTATTTTAAGAGTTGAGGATGTTATAGCACAGACTCTAGTAGTATCTTTAGTGCAGAGAAGCCCAGTAAGCACAACCAAATTAAGAAATACTGTACTGATCTGTGATGCACTGTGGAAATAAAATGTAGAATATATTTCTATAATTATTATCCTTTTCCACAAGCAGACTTCAGAGGAGAGTAACAGTCAATCAGATGAGGATGTTGCGGTAAGACCAAATCAAGTATTTTGTCAAATCTAGTATGTTGGCCAATTGTTAATGTGACGCAGCCTAATGCTGGACTCTTCTAAGCTCATCCTATTCACTGCATTTCCACAGATTGATCTTATGATTGAAACCAGAGATGATAGCATGGGCAGCGAGGAGAATGTTCGAAAGGTGGGATCAAAAATTAGTTTTTTTATTTACATTTCCATATTTAACTAAAAGATAAAAAGTTAATAACACTATGCTCTGCTTTTTCTCTGCATCAGAGTTGGGTTCAACAGTTCGCAAGTGTCATCAAAGACCTGAGTGCAGAGGACAACAGCAGCATGGAGATCAAGGCTCAACCAGACCACCTGACTGAGAAACAGCCCACTCTTACCTCCACGAGCACGAACAACACCGAAAGCAGCAGTGAGAGCAGCAGCAGTGAGAGCACCAGCAGTGAGAGCACCAGCAGTGAAAGCACCAGCAGTGAAAGCAACCAGACCAACGAGACCAGTGAGGAGAGTGACAGCAGCAGCGAGGAAAGCAAGAGCTTGGAGGACAGTAATGCTAGTGACAGCGATGAGCTGCAGCAAATCAAAGCCCCAGACTGTGTGAAGGGAACTCAAAGCTGTGAAAGTGAAGAGTATTTCTTCCAGGATATAGGAGACGATGCTCAGTACTCAGTGGACAATCTAATGATGCCAGAGGAGGCTGAAAGGGAGCTACGTTTAAGGAGATGAGGAGATGCTCTTGTGCAGCTTTTTGTTTTACCACTATGAACTACTGCACAATTGAATGGCCTGCCTGAAGACTTCAGGATGATACATTTTAATCTTGCCCATCGCTTTGAATGTTAATTTTGGCAATATACTGTTACCTGCAGCTGATTTATATGTGTGTGTGTGATTATTACTGTGATTAAGATTAAGCATTTACTTTTGTTTTGATAATAATAAACATATAATGTAACCATGGTATTGGTTGCTGGACATTTTTTGTATAATCATTCAGTGTAGTATACAGTGTAGTATATTAACTTCAACTATCTCTCTCTCTGGTTTAGGGGTCTAAAGATTGGTTAATTATGCAGGGGCCCAGGGTTTGTCACACATACATAACATGTTTTGTCATCAGCTATACTTAAAGTCATTTTTTATTTTCCATTTTTTCCATAAGACTTTAATCACTTGACAGTTCAGTAAGGTAAAAAGCAACAAAAAAAATCTGTCTCTTTCCATTTACTGATGAGAGAAAAGCAATGGAAACGAAGGTAAGGACTCAGTAAGTTGCCATATTGTCCAGTCCGTGTACCTTTGTATTAGGAGAGATTTTGTTTAGACACTGGCCAGCCATATAGAGAAAAGATTCCAGGAGTCTTGTAAAGAAGACAAAAAAACATATTTCTTCAAGTGTTATGAAATATAACCAGTAGTAGACCATTGATGTGTAAAGTGATTTCGGTACTTTACTGTATCACCAAAATTAAGCTAGATTTGTGTATTTTAACCATACAATCTGTGACTTTAACCAACGAGAGACCATTAATGTGTGGAGCGAATTTGATAGCACTACAAAAGGAGAAGTCATCTTGTTACTTGATGACATAATATTTTTGGAGAAGGTCGTTTCGACGTTTGACTTTGTAGACGGTCCCTGGGCCCCCTTGTCCAGGACAGCGTGTATCGGATTGTTTAAAATATAATTGAAATACCTTTATTTTGAAAAAGACAAACATGGCTGGTTAGCTCAGTTGGTTAGAGCGTGATGCTAATAACGCCAAGGTCCCGGGTTCGATACCCGTACTGGCCATTGGTCCTTTTCGTTTCACTCTTTTTTTTTCATCGAGGAGTTACAATTTAACCAATGTGTACCAAAATAATTTAACCAAATAGTTGATCATTAAATTATTTCCGCAGGACCATCATATGGGAAAGCTCAAATCCGGGAGCTGTTTGTAAAGTCCTGCTCACATACAAACTGACACTAGATGGTGACAGTCAACCATTAATGCTGCTCTAAAGCCACAATAAGCACTCACTAATGTTGAACTTATTCTGTATGATGAGACCAATATTCAATTCCCTATATTTTAATTAAATTAAATTAAACAAATATTTGTCACACTGTTACCAGTTCAACAAATCTGGTTGGCCGCCTAAAAGCAAAAAAGATTTTGCAGCAGTGTAACATAGCTTCTTCATTAGTTGTCAAAAAGATGTTGTAAGCATATGTATTGTTTGCGGGGGGGGCGTTTAATGAAGTAGTGTTATATAAAATCTTTTTAAAAATAATGACAAAAAACTAAGTGACGCATATGGTCATCATTAGGTGACAACTGTTTTAAGGAATAAAATCCAACTCCAAGTCACCTTTCACTTGAATAAAACTGTCTTTTTCCAAACACTGGTATTATTACCTGTGAGGTAATGCTCCAACCCTTCTTAATGTCTCTTCTTATATTATAATTCATTTAACGACATATTTGACAGTGATACTTCATACTCCTCAAAAGCCTTTGTTAAATTCACAACAGAATAAGAATCTCCAAAGCTTTTCAAACTGACATCATGCTTTACACAAGGGTGTGTACAGTTATTGCACTACAAGAGAAAAAATGCCATCATTTCAATACAAATTTGAACCTCGTATTTTGTTTTTCGAAAACATTTTAATAGAACATATTTAAACATATGAAATGTTGAAACAAAATATACAATATTTTGGCATTCTCCAAACCAGAGAGTTGGGGGGTTGGATAAGGAAATCTAACATAAATTGAATTTGTTCTGTTGGTTTGACTGTCTCTTGTATCAAAAAGGATTATACGTGTCTTACATGTGTCTTTCTAGTTGAAAATACAACTTCAGCTACAACATAGTGCTCTAGTCACTTAATAATCTGAACAAAAAATTGCCCAATTGACTACATTTCGAAATGAACCCAACATTAACTGAGGCATTTGTTCCCTTTGAGGTCACTTTCTTATCTGGGGAGGTGAGACTTCAGGTGTTCCTTTAGCGCTGGTATGGTGGGAAGCTCTTTAGGACAGATGTGACAGCGGAGAGGAAGTTTCAATAACTCGCTGGTTCCTTCTTTGATGGTTACTTTCCCATCTGTTTCAAGCATCTGAATGACATCTGTAAATAACAAAAAGTGTCAAAAGTTAGAGATATTGTAGTTATAGAAACAATTTACCACTGTGATTCAAGTCGTCAACTTATAAGATTTGTAATTTGTTCTCACCTTGGGAGTCCATGAAATAGTCAGTTGTGAATGAGTTCCAGTGTTTCTTGTTCTTTAAAGAAGGGGAGTCGAAGTCTTGGCTGATCACATGCAGGTGTACGTGACTGTAAGAGAAAATATACACACAATGTGTTAATTTCATATACATTTACAGCAACTATGTATTAACCATTTTGCTCATTAACTATGGGGTCAAATATGCAAAATGGGTAGCACCGTTTTTTTGTTTTTGGTGGTATTGGGGTAAATGAAATGTGCACACCACCAACAATGACTTCTGATTTCTGTCTTAAGTAAATGAGCAAAACAGGCTTACTTTTGATAACAACATTTTATTGCCATTATGTGACCTGCTTTGGCTGTACCGTGTAAAGCAGAGTGAGGCCAGTGCATTGATACTGCAAATGAAATACTCAAAGAGAATTCACTTGGGTATGTGTTGAATAAAACAATAAAAGACCATTTAAAAAAAGGGAAGAAACTATTTCAAAAGGAAGAAATCACAGAAAATAAATCTAGACTGGTAAAGACAAGGTGGAAAATGATAAATGCTTTTGGTTTAGTCAAAGGCAGCCGTTCTTAAACTAATCTGTTACTGTACTAGCTTTAACAGATATCAGTGGCTGTCTATAAGTGAAACATCATGATGCTAACAGATAATATCCTGTAGAAATAATGCCGGTAAAATACAGTATTTAAAATAAATCCTGAAACACCAGCCGGGTCTTTATTACTTACCTCATACTGGGGATGGCATGGTACCCGGTGCGGAAGCGTAATGATGTAGCATCTGGGCATTGTTGAACCATCTGCTCAGCGACTTGATGCATGTGTTTCACCAGATCGCAGTGCTCCTCTCGTAAGGCCTTCAGGCTGGAAATGGTCTGCCACGGGAGGACCAACCAGTGGTAGCGAGCTTTGGGGTATTTATCTTTAATGACTACTACTTTATCATCCTTGTACACCTAGAGAATGAAGACAGTTATTTGATAACATCCAGATCAGTAAGTATTATAGCAACTGTTATTTAGTTTTTTTTATAAAAGCTACCTGCATCTTTGGGTCTTGCATTGAGGACTTCAGACCTTGGCTCCAAGGTGCAAAACTTTCCTGCAAAAAATGTAAGGTTATGATTTTTTTTCTGTGTAACATACTCGTACCAGGTCTTAAGAAAATGTATTCAAGATAATTGGACATTTGGACGTAATTAAAAAATATATATCTCAAAAAAGTTTCTTCTCTCACTGTGTTTTTTATGTTTTCTCCCAGGCTGTCTGGCACAGAGGTCTTTTCTGTCTGTTTGGCTGCTTTCACACTCAGAGCCTCTCTGTGGCTCTCTCTCTCCTCTGAAGCCAGCTCTCGGGGTCTTTTGTTTCCCCCGAGGAGCCCGGTGGTATCCTCCTTGAACTGTACAGTGTATGGGTAGAGCTGGTTGACAATATGAAGCTTCTGTCCGGCCTTCATTTTGACCTCACTGTCCTTACCCACCACCACAGAGTCTATGGATGTTGGGTTCAAGCCCAGCTTGGAATAAAGACAGAAGATGCAGAGTGATAAATAGAGAGTGGTGGATTAAAAGTAATTTATCAGACTGAGCATACCACACAATCATTGCATGAGTTTCAAGCTGACATGTGTCTTACCTGTTTAACTTTGACATAACCTTTGTTGCATTCTGCTTTCAATTCAACTGGTTGGGAAGGGATACAATATGCACGGATTAAAGTTTGAATAAAAAAGAACAGTATATGACAATTATTTAAACCGCAATGTACACAATGAAATTAGAGAGGAATATGTGTTTTGTGTGTTGTTGTGTATATGATAGTCTGAAACCAGCTTTTTATCATATTATGTGTACTATGTACAGTTACAAAGTACATTTACTCAAGTACAATTTTGAGATACTTGTACTTTTCTTGAGTATTTCCATGTTATGCTACTCCAATACAATTCAGAGGTAAATCATGTACTTTTACTCCACTACATTTATTTAGTACATTAAGTTACTTTAAAGATGTTGATTAATGATGTGCAATATAATAATTACTTAAATCAGACTTTAGTTCCACCTGGAGTAGATTCACAAGCTACCCTGCAGTATACAAAGTAATTATCACTAGCTGCCGATTTACCAGCATTGATAAACACTTTAATGCATCAATAATTATAATCAAAACTTATAACATATCGTATTCTAAAATTGACCAATCTGTATAAAGAGAACTTGTACTATTTTTACTTTTAGGATATTGTGATGCTAATACTTTTGTACTTTTACTTGAGTAACATTTTGAATGCTGAGTACTCCTACACTCTGGTATTTCTACTTTTACTTAAGTACACAATGTTAGTACTTGTGCCACCTCTGGTTATACTGCATTGTATAATGTAATATATGTCTGTTGGAAAAAACTATGATAAACAATTACCCATGGTGGAAGCATGACATGTTGTCTCTATGCATTTTTTTTTTATGGCATTTCACTATTTGTTTACGTTTGACTGATGATGTTAGCTAACATAGCCAGTGCATCAAATGAAATGCATCGTTTTTTGTTACGTTACCTTGGTGCCGAGAGCATTTTTTGTCTTTAATAGTCGTCTCTGGACCTCGACCCAGGACCACAGTCTGCAAGTGAGGCAGTCGGATGGGTTTATGATTGCCCTCCTCTCTGATAAGCCAGCAAATCGGCATTTTAGCATATTATGTGCGATTTTAACAGTCACAAAACGGTTTCAGCCCACGCTTTGTTTTGGTGAGCCGGGTCGCAGGAAATAGACGTCACTGAATCAGCTTTTTGTAGAGGCGAGTTGGAAGCTTCTGGAAGAGCCTTTCTGTAAACTGAGGCTGTAAGGATTCAAACTACTGTTTCCATACAAGGTGAGGAAATGATAATATGCGTAATATGGTGTATATATCAGCTTCACAGTTTATTCAGTAATTTGTGGTCAGAAAAAGCATAGAGCTAGCGTGTTAGCATTATCCATGCTATCAGGGGTTTGGCTAGTACACGATGAAGTTAGCTTTATAATCGTAGGCTTAGCCTCTGCAGTTACGTTTTTGTGCTTGTTGTGAATCAGTGTTAAGACACAATAGCAATTGACTCTTCGTTAAACATACTATCACATTTTTGAATTAATTATATTGGTAACAATTTCAAATTTCAAAATTACAATCTTGATTACGTTTAGATCAACATAGTTAGAAAAGCTCAAGTGTAGTTGTTGACGAATGGCACATCTGTTAAGTTTCGTGCCTGCATGGTACACGTTGTGAGGCTAAAATGTAAATGAGTCAACAGAAAAGTGGCGACCGATCCCCCGTGTGTTCCTTTAGCTTTTCACTTAAATGCCTAACCGGAAGCTTCGAATCTGAAACTAACTTCAGCGTGTCATGTAAGGGCTAAGGTAACGCTAGCTAAAGTACGAATAGTGATATATATCATATGACTCATTGCCACTGTCCTCACCATGAGCAGTATAACAGGTAGTTGTTAAGAATCGATTATTACCTCGTGTCAACCAAAAATAAACTTGTGGTGGACACAGTGCGTGGCTGAGCCCCTGCCTCCCTGATGTGAGGAAACCTTTCATAACAATTGACGTGTACAAATGAGTTTGTGTTATATTTCAACCTTAATGTGTGCTTTGCTTTTCCAATGTCTTCATTTTAATCGTTACATTTAATCTCAGACTCATGTTCAACATATTAAGTATTTCATCACAATCAACTGTTATCCACATCACATGATGTAACTGCTACTGATTATTCTCCAGAAATGGAAAGCGAAACTAGGGAACCTTTTGTAGGATCCACCCATGATCTAGCGAGTCAATAGGCATTTAAATTGCTACACCTAGCTATTTTAGAGATGTATTGATTCAATTAACTGTTCATTGTAGAGATTGTAGTTGTTGGTGCTGTTGAATTGTGCTGTGTTACACTGAGGATGTGTTCACAAGTGGGGGATTTTAGGGAATATTAGAATTCAATTCAATTCAAGGCTTTATTGTCATGTGCACAGTAGCTACATTTTAGATATGGCAATGAACAACTTAAGTCACAGGCTCCTCCAACAATGCAACATAAATATATATAAGACATAAAACAAATAAAAAAGTGCAAGAGAATGTTTGAGATGTGGCAATGAATGTTAGAATAATAAAAAGGCATAAAGCATATATTACAATTTATCCCTTTTTCAAGCTAACTCCAACCCTCACATGTTCACATCCAACAACATGAGGTCCTCTCTCACAGTTCAGCCAGATGATGATGTGCTTTGAATGTTTTTTCATGTTGAAAAGACTGTCTTCCTCTTGTCACAATGACATGATGCAGGCTCCTACTTTATTACCATGTTGTTTCTCTTTTATTATCAATACTGGTAGGCACATTGTGTAGATTTTGAAGGTGTTTAAGAGCTAAACACTAACTAAATGTATGATATGTTTTCATCTTTCTTCAGATTTTCCAAGGTTTGTCGGTGAAAGACAATCATGGTGAAGGAAACGGGCTTCTATGACACGTTGGGTGTGAAACCTAATGCCACTCCAGATGAACTGAAAAGGGCCTATCGCAAACTAGCCTTGAAATATCACCCCGACAAAAACCCCACAGAAGGAGAGAAGGTAAGACTGTTTTCAGTAATTTTTCTTACATAAAAAAGGCAACATATGTTGTAGAAATGTCCACATTCATTGGTAAGGGTAGCATTCTTATACTTGAAATACAGCCTTATTAATGTGCACGTCTTAAAATATGTCAGGATGAAAGATATTAATATATATATACATTGATCTAACGAATCAGGCTTTTCTGTCATTTGGTAGATTTTATCAAAATGTTCTTTTGCCATTTGTAGAGGCCATGTAAAAAAGTATTTAAAGGGCTATGGTATAATCAGACCTCACCTATTAATTTTGCACACGTCAGCGAGGTAAATAACTTGTATATATTACATAAACAATTGTATATGTTGTAATATATGATATGTTTTTTCTTTATTTGACATGTAGTTCAAGCAGATCTCACAGGCATATGAGGTTTTGTCAGATGCCAAGAAGAGAGAGGTGTATGACCGTGGAGGAGAAAAGGCTATAAAGGAAGGAGGGTCTGGTGGAGGAGGGGGGGGTGGTGGGAACTTTGCATCGCCCATGGACATCTTTGACTTGTTTTTTGGTGGGGGTAGTCGGATGCACAGAGAGAGAAAAGGTAAAAAAACATTTAAGAATTAATCCTTAAACTAGCATAATGTTTTTAGCTAAGATTTGATGTGTCGGTTTTTCTTGTCAGTGTTATAAAGCAATAATGTTTTTCTTCTTGGCCAGAGCCACTTCTATTAACTAGCATGAAGTTGAAATCTGGAACACTTAGTTAATTGTTGGCCAGAACTAAGGATTCTTTTCAGAATTGATTAATGTGTGTTTCTTGTTTTGTCGGATCAACAGTCAAAACCACAAAAATATTCTGGATATACTTTGCCATGAGACCAAGAACTGTAACCGAATTAAAGCCAAAACACAGGGCTGTGGAGAAAGCATGATAAATGAAGTCTTAACTGGCTGCACAGCAACTTATTATTGTATGTGTGACCATAAAACATCCTGAGCCTTAATAGAGAAGTAAACACACAGCTGCTCTCCACATAATGCCCAGTATCATCTCTCATCCCAGTTTCTCTTGTTCTGTAATTAGGATTATTAGGATTTATTTTAGGTAGGTTGAATGTTATTTTAAGGAAACTGATACAAGGAGTGTCTTGTAAAAATCTCTCCAACTGCCAACCTTATTCCAAGAAATCTGATTTGTCTCGTCCCAGGAAAGAACATTGTTCATCAGATTTCAGTGACGCTGGATGATCTTTATAACGGAGCTACAAGGAAACTGGCCCTTCAGAAGAACACTATTTGTGAGAGATGTGAAGGTATGTCTTCTGCTATACTTTCTGTGTACTTGTAAGTATTTATCACAGACCTTGTTATGTAATACTAGAACGCTTTCAAGCAAACACAGACGAAAGCAGGCCATGAAAAGCCTCTTTGTTCAATCACAAACACCTCGGTCTTATAAATGTAATCCAGCACTCGCTCGCCATGACACCACACTTTATTATATGTGCCGAACCTTGAACAGAAAGTGCCTTCATCTTTGTCATCTTGTGTTTTTAGTTTAGTTTATTTGTTTATAGTGCCGTGGACAGTCCCCATTGATCAACTGTCACAAAACACAGTAAATGGGGCAGCGTTAGCAAACATTGCTAATTTCCAGCTGTTGTCCCCGGCCAGATGATAATGGACACCCTTAAAATCACAATACATCAACAGCATTAGTTATAATTAAAAAAAGGATGAAAGACAAGTAGATACAGGTGAAAGGATAAAAGAGAACAATAAAAAGACACACACGTTCCTACATACATGTGACATATAGCACATCACAATCACATAACAGAAACCAGGGGCAACATCCATGATCACAACATGTAACTAGGGTGACCAGGTGTCCCGCTTTGTGCGGGACTGCACAGCATTTTTATAATTTGTCCCACAAATGTAGCCGATGTCCCGCATTTGATTGACAATCGCCCGTCTTAAACAAGGCTTTTATACAAAGGTGTGTAGAAAACGAGAGGACTATCATCACCATTAGCTGTGTCAGATGTCATTCAATCAACAGAGACATTTATTAACTTATGGGTGTAGCCGGTGGAGGGAGAGTTATTGTCAGATTTGCCAGATCTTTTTTTTAATTACTCACGGAGGTGAGTATGTTTTGAAGAGACGCTTCCCTGAAACTCACAAAAAACGCCTGGCTCATAAAGAAAATATCGATCTATGGATACATTCCTCCTGAAACCAAAATAAATGAGGTAACAGCAGCTGATTTAATAAACGTTTAGCACACTGTGCAGCAATCGGTTGCACAGTAGTTGGTAGTAAACTAGCTCCGGTCATTTCTTTCTGGTCATAATAATTTGTTATGTTAATTCCATTCAAAACAAATATGTTGAATTCCTTCACTTGCATAGTTTGTGCAAACATTAAACCAAAGTAAAGCGTTGTTATTCATATTTATAAGCTTATAGTTTCATAGAAATGTTGTTAGATAGACATTATATAAACATCTAATCTAGCTCTTAGCGATGCAGTAACATGTCCCGCATTGTCCCGTAAAAACGTCCTATTTGTCCCACACTGATCCCCCTACATGTAACACACACTCTATGTCCAACACAGACTAGTGAGTGCAGGTGTAGTTCTCAGTGAACCTTGTGTGCTGACTGTTTATTTCTCTCGGCAGGTCGTGGGAGTCGGAAAGGAGCGGCCCAGATGTGCATGTCCTGCCACGGCACAGGGATGCAGGTCCGTATGCACCAGCTGGTCCCAGGCATGGTGCAGCAGGTGTCCACCGTGTGCCACAGCTGCCAGGGCCAGGGCCAGAGGATCAGCCACAAGGACCGCTGCAAAACCTGCGTGGGGAGGAAGATCATGAGGCAGAAGAAGGTTCTGGAGGTCCACATCGACAAAGGTAAGAGATTGAAGAGAGAGCTTATCTAAATGTTTCTCTGACTGTCTGACCAGCGAAGAAGAAAAAACAAATACGGATGATTTAACTTCCACAGGAATGAGAGATGGCCAGAAGATCGTTTTCCATGGAGAGGGAGACCAGGAGCCGGGCATCGAGCCAGGGGACATCATCATTGTCTTGGACCAGAGAGAACATTCAACTTTCACAAGGTAATATTTTCTCTTATCATGT